TTGAAATGTTATATCCTGTAGAAGAGTACCATGCTGCCAGAACCCAGATCGGGCTATTTGATCCGTGATTGAATTAATATTGTACAAACCCCCATGCCATTTGCTTTTGCCCAAAGCGGGTTTCCCAGCTGTCAGTCACACTCGCGCAAGCCAAGACCCCCGTGCTGCTTTTTTTAAACCAGGGGACCAGCGAGTAAGCTCTTTGCGTTCAAAAGCATTGAAAATTGGGCAAACACCTACGTCGCATCCCATCTCCTGGGTGCGGCAGCCAGGCCCACCCTCACTCCCGTCACTAGTGGTGTCCTAATCATCAACTGCCCAGGACTAACTCCGTATACTGCTTGACTACCTCCCGTAATGGCGGCTATCGCAGTTGGGGGAGGTACCTGCGATGGTATATCTATACCTAACACTTCCCCATCAAGGCCTGACATGACGATGTTTCAAGGGGAGTGCGTTTCTTACAACCTCCCATGCATTCTAGGCAGCTCAGCCCATAATCAATGCCTAGCTTTGCATATTCAGTCCCAGTGCCAGGGTGTTTCTTCCCCATCACCTACCTGGTCGAGGTGGCTTATTTCAATTCAATACCTGTGATCAGCAATATTACTGGTGCCATCCGTTGGCTTAGGAAGTAGCTTTGGGGTACTCGCGACTACCTGCTGCGCTAGGCAATACCGCACCTACCTCCATCCCTCCTAAGGCTCAACCACGCGCCTACCTATGTTAGGTCAGGATACTCCGTCCGCTGTAGTCAATATTAGTAGCGCCCTGCACCTCACCCCCAGGTTCCTTTCCGCAACACGACCAAGTAATCATCCCTTTCCCTCCTCAGACTACTCTTCCTATAAAACCGGCCTTTGCTGGCCAAAGAGCGTGTCCCGGACCTTTTCCAAGTGATTTCACCTCATTCCGTCTGTTGGGCTTCCATAGCCTGAACGTGGGGTCAAGCCAGCTTGTGCTTCTATCTTGGGCTCCATTTGTTGCTCAACCATCGTGGTAGCCGCCAGCCACTTTCCTCCTCCCTCCATCTCCTCAACCCGACTGCGACCGTCCTCTTTGCCTCTGTCCCACCCCTCGACGCAGATTTGAAAATGGCCGACCCATTTGCGCCGCGCTCTATGAAGCGCAAGAACGTCAAAGGCCTGGCCTTGACCCCTGCTGCGCCGAAACCCCCGCCAACTGCCGAGACCAGCAGATTCGCCGGCGGTTTTATTACAAGAGACGACAGTAAACAGGAGGAGCAACTGGAAATCGGCATCGAATACAAGTTGGATTTGCGCCCCGAGGACCTTGAGATCGTCAAGGAGTTAGGATCTGGAAATGGTGGCACTGTCAGCAAGGTCAAACATGTCATGCACGGTACCGTGATGGCTCGCAAGGTGAGTTGGCTGAGATGCTTATTACTGAGATCAGCGCTGATGTAGCGCTCCCAGGTCATTCACGTCGAAGCGAAACGAGAAATACGCAAGCGTATCGTTCGAGAACTCCAGATTATGCATGGTTGTCATTCCGAGTATATCGTCATTTTCTACGGCGCTTTCTTGAACCATAATAACGATGTTATAATGTGTATGGAATACATGGACGTGGGGTAGGTTATCTGCAGACACGCTCATTAATACCAGATCGAAATGGAACAAATACTAAGTATCAAAATACAGGTCTCTTGATCGAGTATCTCGAGTTTTCGGGCCAGTCCGTGTGGATGTATTGGGGAAAATCGCCGTGGCAACACTGGGGGGCCTCACATACCTTTACGAAAAGCATCACATCATGCATCGAGATATCAAGCCGTCCAATATCCTGGTCAACTCGCAGGGCTCCATCAAGCTGTGCGATTTTGGCGTGTCTGGTGAGCTCGTCAACTCAATCGCTGACACATTCGTTGGTACATCAACATATATGGCCCCGGAGCGTATTCAGGGCGAGAAGTACACAGTCAAGTCAGATGTTTGGAGTTTTGGTCTCTCCATCATGGAGCTAGCCATCGGCAAATTCCCTTTCGCCGCCAGCGAACAGCTTTCGGATGGAGATGGCGCCCCGGCCGGCATCCTGGATTTGCTGCAACAAATTGTTCACGAGCCAGCGCCCCAGCTCCCCAAGAGCGATGCTTTCCCCAGCGTCTTGGATGATATGATTCAGAAGTGTCTTTACAAGGAACCGGAGCGACGGCCTACTCCTCAAGAATTATTTGTATGTCCTCAACTCTCTCAGCGCAGGCGTACCGGAAGCTAACAGTGTGTTTAGGACCGTGATGCTTTTGTCCAGGCAGGTAAAAGGACTCCAGTTGATCTTAGGGAATGGGCAGTGGGTTTGATGGAACGTGATAACCGCAAGTCTCATCTCGCTCCTCAGCTCTCACCATCAACACAGGACCTGCTTCGGTCGAGCGATTCTCCTCCTTCTCAATTCACAGGAGAGGAACGAGCCTTGCACACACCTACATCTGGAGAGATTCCCATCTCTGGAAGCGGCATTGTCTCGCCTCGGGAGCACAACGGCTCAAGCCGTTCACCGACCCGCAGCACTGCCGGTGGCCGAACACCGTCAGGTCATCCTGGCCTCACCCCAAGACCTGGAGGATATGGTGACAGCGGTGGACTTGGTGCATCAAACGGAAATACTTTCAGCCTGCCTGTCCGACCAGCCCCCCCCTCTGGACCTCTGCCACCACCTCCCCCGCGCAAATCGACGCCTGAGGAGCAGCGAAGAGACAACCGAAGGCACGGCCTGCCCTATGGCTCTTGAACGTGGCTGCCCCGCAAAGAAATGATTCCATAGTGTCGCATTTACATCATTATACCATTATCTGTCAGCGCCATGGTAGCCAGCTCCGTGTACCAACTAACCGCCATTTTGATTTCGCTCGTAAAGATCCTGACTTGGTGTTGAGAATCATCTCACACGGTTTGCACTCTTTCGAGATGGATTTGGTTGGATCTTTTTATGGGAAACTCGCGATATGGGCGAGTTTTAATTTAGAGTCATGGCTTAATGCTGTATATTGAATAAGCGAGGAAAAGAGCAATTATGCTTGGCATAGGAAGGGTAGATATGGTCAGGGCAAATACAGCGAGCAAGGTCTGCGTATATCCTCAATCTACATAATGATTGGTTGGTGGAAAAGTAGGGCAATGTGAGATAGGTAAATAATATGTTGGATGCGGCATCTTTGTCGATTTCTCAGCACTTATACTACCTGGATCTGACGACCTTGGAAACCCTCCTCCAATATATCTACCAGTTCGCCCAGTGAAGTTATTACAAGGTCCGTGTGCTCATGACTCACCAGCACCTGATTCACATCGTTAGCTAACAGAACAGTCGCCGCTCCTGCCCTCCTGCCCGCTGTCATATCATCAATAGAATCCCCAACCATGATTAGTCCGGTAGCATCAACGTCGCCGTTGTCGTCGACGAGACGCCAATCCCTGGCGATGTGCAGGATTCCAGCAGGGTCCGGTTTCGGGGGCTTGAAATCTCGTGTGACAATGGGACTGAACTGGGAACCCTGTAGGAACTTGGTGAGGAGGTTTTGGACGGGGACATCGAAGTTGCGGGTGCAGATGGCCTTGGGGATGCCGCGGGAGTCAAGGTAGGACATGAGCGTGTTGAGGCCGGGCTGGGGGGTCTGGGATTCCATTGCCTTGCGCTCGATGTTGCGGATGGCCTCGAGGGCAACGGTTTGCTTCTCGGGGTGGAGCGACTCGACGTGCTCGAGGATGTCTACTGCCTTTGTGATGCCTAGGGCGTCTCTCATGTCCTTGAACATGTATGTTTGTGGCTCACTTTCATACGGTTAGCGAGGATTCATGATGTGATGAAGAGTTCATTTTATCTGATGAAGCTCTCGCTTGTGAAAATCATAAAATAAAGTCATGATAGTATGTAGTGAGTTTTGAAAGCTCAATGATGTGTGAAATATAATGAAGGATGATATGAGTCAAGGGTCCCTTCTGGATGCAGGGTAGGGCACCTTGAAGCAGATGGAGGGGTTGACGAATCGGACCCAGGCAGATTATAACGAACCAGATTCCAATTGATGAAATGATCTGTACTTACCACAGCGTGCCATCCATGTCAAATACAATGCCACGGAGTGTCGGTACCTCAGTCGCGGACGAGGCCCGTAGGCTGTCCCGTAGAGGTGCAAATCGCTTAGCAGTAGATACCATGGTCGAGGAGAAGAATCGTTTCATCAAGGGCCAATATAGCTGTGTTGTATTGGATCAGAGGGGACTAAATAGGTAGGTAGCCTCCAAAGGGATCGCCAGGAAGGGTGGAATGCGGTCTTGACAGGCGGTAGGGTAGCAGTTATGTACGGGACAGAGTCAAGGTCATCGATAGTCAGGTAGCATTACCATGTAGATTGGCTGGAGAGTGGACTGCATGTGAAGCAACCTTGAAGTAGCCCTGGAGGTCCGCCAATACTGAGCCGTGTGAGTGCCACACCCGGGCAGCAAGTATCCACAGGAGCATCCGCTGGAGCCTGCACTGGGTATCGGGCACCAGGGCCTCCCTGCGCATTGCCAAGTGAGGCGGCCTCAAGGTCCCACCTGTGTGGAACATACTGGGAGTGAGCATTTCAAGTTGGTATTGGGGATCACTTTTTATAAATCAAGTCGAACCCAGAAGTCTCTACAATTTGGAACAGAACAATGCATCGACTGGCTTGACCCGGGCGGATGACAAAGTCCTGTGAAGATTCGGGTGGCTGAGAACCGATGTCATAGCTGTTTGTAGCCACTAAAATTAGGCGGTATCTAACACTGGATCTTGGGTGGAGTCTAGCGTGCCATTTTAATATCTGACTGCGAGCTCTGTTTCGCCATCAATGTGTGTTTTCACAACATTGGACAACTTCCACACAGAGCAAGGTGTTTTCTTCTTGCTGATACTACGCTACCGAAACCGCCAGGTTCCCATCCCCGCGACCACTATTATCACAGAGAGAGGGACCAATACCATGGCTTTCTGATTGGCATCAGGAGCGCAAGATGAGCTCCAGCGCCAACAACGCAAATGGAAGCTCCCCTTCGGAGCACTGGCGCCTTCGACGCCCATCTGTAGGCTTACACCTATTTCGGCCGCCGCTGCTAGTTGTACTTATCGGGAAATAGAACATGCGCAATGGTACCTTCATTGTTCCTTTGACGGGCGAGCGATCACGACAACAATTTGACTTGCGGACCTCTGTCGACATAGCCGCCGCCAGCAGCGGGGATAACTCGTCCGACGAAGCCGACAGCGAGCCACCCATTATCAAGCAAGGGTTTCTCGAGATACTGAAGCAGGAGGCAAATGAGAAGGCGGAGGCAGTATGGGAATGGATCAATTCGGAACAAGGACATGGCGTGCTAAAATGCACCTTTGCTTACCTGCTAGGTAGCATGGGAACATTCTGGCCGCCTCTTTCCGACTTCCTTGGACACCGCGATGGGAAACACGTCGTTGCGACTTTGACTGTTTATTTCAACCCCGCTCGCTCTGCTGGATCAATGCTGGAAGCCATCGCGATCGCTATTATCGCCGTGATATATGCCGTGTTGGTTTGCCTGCTATCGATGCTCATTGTTATCTTTGGGCGGAAGTTCGGGGTTGTCGATGCGGCGCACTTCCTCGTCTTGGTTGTCTGTATCGGTGGTGGTCTTGGGTTTGTCGGTTGGGTAAAACAAAAGATGAATCAGCCGCTGGTCAATGTCGGATCTACGTTGACATCAATTGCCATCATTTCGGTCGTCACCAAGGAGGAGTCCATCCAGGATGGTTATTTCTCGGCTGTCAAGATTGTGCAGGTCCTCAAGATGCTCGTCTTGGGCATCTCCTTTACATCTGCCATCAATTTTCTCGTCTGGCCAGTCTCGGCTCGACGAGTTTTACGAACCGCGATTGTCAAAGCATCCTTGGCCCTTAGCGACAAGTTATCGATTGTCTCTGAGAGTTTCCTTAACGGATCCGAAGAGGAACTGAAGACAAAGGAGTATGCTCAAATCAGAGACAGCTACAACAGTGCCTACTCGCAAATCACCAAGATGACACGAGAGGCTAAGAATGAGTATTATGTTGTTGGGAGAGAGAAGCTATATCAACTAGATAAAGCCCTCGTGAAGTCGGTGGAGAGGCTATCACAAGCTATCGCAGGTCTCCGAAGTGCGCTGGACACTCAATTCACCCTTCTAAAAGAGACACCTACAGGAAGCCAGCAAATTCTGGATAACATGCCCCTTGTTCTCAGCCCCCCGACGTCGCCAAAGATTCCTCGTACCTTATCTGCGTTGTTCGTGGCCCCGATAGGAGACCTATCTGCCATCAATGAATCAGATGAAGACCAAAAGCCTCAAAAGGACCTCCCCCGACCTAAATCGGACCCTTCATTGGATCAATCACCCATGTTCCGCTACCCCTCTGATATTTTCGCCCATTTCATCGAGCTCCTTGGTCCTTCCATGAAGTCCTTATCCTATACTCTATCTGAAGCTCTGAGGGAATCACCCTTTGGTGATGACCCTATTAGACACGTGAAGGTGAATACTCAGCTACGACGGAGTCTGCAAGATGCTCTTGGCCTGTACAATGAAGCGAGGGGAAAGGCCCTTCAGAACCTCTACACAAGCGTGGAGCTGGGACGTTCGCGATCCGAGGAGATACAAGCAGATTTCGAAGAAGTGGCTGCTGCATGTGGGCATTTCTCTTTTAGTTTACGAGCCGTGGCGGAGGAGATGGACGCCTATCTTCTTGTCCTCGAAGACCTCCAGTTTGTGCAGGAATCTTCGAATCTGAGCTGGAATTGGCTCAAGTTTTGGAAACACTGGAGCTTTGGAAGGAAGAAAGAAGGCCTCCGATTTACGGATCCCGAGCAGGAGGAACTTCTTCCCAGCCAGCCCGTCAATCGTCTTAGGCAAAGCGCTTTGCCAAAAGGAATACCCAAGCAGATGATCTCGCGCCGAGATACCTTCAATTGGGATGCTGCGCCTCATGCTAATAGGATTAAGAGGGCATTCTCACAAAAGGTACTCAAATTAATGCGCTTTTTGACCCGAGAGGATATTATCTTTGGTGTCAAGGTTTGCATTGGTGCTATACTATACGCCCAGTTCGCTTTTATTCCTAGCACACGCCCCATCTACGAGACATGGAGAGGTGAATGGGGGCTCTTATCCTACATGATTGTTGTCGCTATGACAACAGGTGCCTCCAACACTACCAGCACTTCTAGGTTTATCGGAACCCTGATTGGCGCCGGCTGCGCAGTGGTAGCCTGGATCATCGGCCAAGAGAACCCATTCTTGTTGGCCTTCTTGGGCTGGCTTGTTGCGCTCTGGAACTCGTATCTGATCGTGGTTCTCAACAACGCTTCCATGGGCAGAATTTGTCTGTTGGCATACAACGTGATCACGCTTTATGCCTACAGCATCTCTCAGGATGTCGACGACGACGATGACGATGAAGGAGGAACAAGCCCCATGATCTTTGAAATTGCTTTCCATCGTGTTGTCGCCGTGACAATTGGAATCCTTTGGGGAATGATATTTTGTCGATTGGTGTGGCCTATCTCTGCTCGTCGCAAATTCCGCGAAGGTCTCGCGGTTCTCTACCTTCAGATGGGCCTTATTTGGAAACGTGGCCCGCTGGCTGTTCTCAAGGACTCGAGAAGTTTGCCCGACTACATGCGAGAGGGCGAGCAGGCCGCACTTCAACGTTATGGTAAGTGGCTTGTTATCTTATGTCGATTTACCACAAAAGTATATGTTAACTCACATGGTGAAACCTAGCCTACAAGCTTGAAAGCCTCAGAACTTCTGCTCAGGCTGAGTTCGAGCTGCGAGGCCCCTTCCCGAGTGCATCTTATGGCAGGATCATGCGTTCAACCAAACACATCCTGGATGGTTTCTATGCCATGCGACTCATCGGCCAGAAGCGTGCGCAGCTATCCGAGGGAGAATGCGCCCTTCTTGACTTCACAGCCGAGGAACGCGAACAACTGTGCCAACGAATTTGCCATGTATTCCAGGTACTCGCCTCCTGCATCATGCTCGAGTACCCCCTCACGGATGCCATCCCCACCGTTGACCGTAACAAGGACCGCCTCCTGGGCAAGATATACCAATTCCGCAAGGACCACATGGCCGATCAGCTCATCAACAATGGCCACGCCGCCATTGCGGACGAGAGCGACTATGCCCTCCTGTATGCATACACGCTCGTGACGGCACAGGTGGCCGAGGAGCTCAAAAAGGTCCGCGAGGAGATTGAGGCATTGTTTGGTGTGCTCCACGAAGAATCACTTTTGCTTGAGTAGAAAAATAACCTGGGTCTGTGAATTATTATCTTGGCGAGCAACAAGTTTGGAATTCGCTTGTTCGGAGCTTCTATGGCGGGTTTTCGGTCGTTACCTGCAGTTTAATATTTGTGAAACATATTTTGTTTTTGTTATCCTACCGGTCATCAGCTATGCTAGGATTACGGTCTTTATTGAGATAGAGAATGAGCCCGACTAACTAAATCGAGTATATTAAGGAAGGAAGCAATATGTTCTCATTTCATGGATCGTCATTATAAACTAGTTCTATATGTATATCGCTGACCTGGCATACCAAATATCAAGAATGGCCGTGGGAAAAACTAACTAGATGATCACTTCTCGGAGCTTGCCCTGTCCGCCGATTGTGTACTCTACCCATCTGCCCACGCCCTTTTGTCCCGGGACGAGGAGACTGCTTGGGTTCATGACATGGCACCCTTCATATGTGACGCAGAAAGGCGGGGCCGTGGTGTCTACGAGAACCATGGCTGTCGGGAGCGGATACAAGTGTAATGCCCCGGCGTAGTCCCAGTGGACGGGGCGGAGTGGCTGGCGAAACGGAGCCAGGTATCCCTGATCGAGGATGGACTTGACCAGCTTTTGGGCGGCGCGGGTATCGTGGGACGTGGATGATGGGGCGCTGGTTCCGTCGTCTTGCGTTTGATCTTGAGTCTCTTGGTCTATATCCATGGACTCGGGCTGAGATGGTGCGGGGGCATCGGGTTCACCCCCCTCATTTGTGTTTTCTGGAGCGTCGTTTTTGGATTTCAAGTTGACGCATGTTCTTCTCAAACGCGCTGAGATGTCGTCCCTGAACAGAACTATCTCGTTGTTGGGCCCGAAAAGGGACAGGCGGCTTGGGTTTGTGGTCCAGTGCGCGGAACCGGGCACGGCGTGGTTGGTTTCCGCGTTGGCGGTTGCGAACGCACGCCGGATCCGCGAGGTGAACATGTCGGGAACCCCCTTTCTGGGCAGCGGTACGGAACCGCCGGCTGTGAAGGACGAGACCCAGCCATCGTTATCTCCCGGGACGAAGACGAATGTGCACGTTTGGAGCAGGGTTGGGAAGTCGGACAGTGTGGAGGCCAGAGCATCGAAGCATTCTTTGTATTCGATGCTGCCACCGCTACCACCGCGGGCCATGACTGCGTGCTGTGTGAAGCTGCCAGTGAGAACAAACGTCATTGGTGATCTGCCTTCCGGCTCCGCGGCGTAGAGAGAAAATATTCTCCTGAGCGCCTGAAGTGCACGGGGCTGGTCGAGGTTAAGCTCTCCAATAATGACGATACGATCGCGGCCGAGGGCGTCTTCCTCCTCAAAGGGGCCCCTGAGGAGGCGTTTCTGCAGCCTGCGCATTTTCGGGCCCACGGCACGCTCGCTGCCAACACCGAGGAAGTCGATCCAGCCGAAGCCTCCTCCTATGATTTGGTCCCGCCCGCCCTCAGGGCCGCTGATCCCCAGCGTGGCTTTCCGTTTTTCGCAGGGAGGCTGGCCGATGTAGAACCCTTGAAAACGACCGCCCAGCGTACCTCCAACACCGCTGCTGCCACTCAAGCCTTTGCCAACAGACTCATCTTCCTCTTCGTACACGCCGTCGACTAGGACAATCATCCCAGGGCAGAACCAGGCAGAATCTTCGGGAATTGATACTGCCTGTTTGAGATCGAGTGCGATTGTACCAGTCATGTCACTGATTGCTAAGTCGCCGGTCGGTAGAATTGTTAGCTGGCCGAGAAGCATATGCCCACTGCCATGCCGACCCAGAAGGTTGGTAATCGGCGTGATTTTGAGAGATTGCTGACTCGATAATGACTGATGACCCGATCGCTTTCGGGACTCTGATACGGTTGAGGATTGGAATGCTTCATTTCTGAGGAGACGCTGGTGAATAACATGATAGCGATTGCGGAACGCTGTTGTTTTGTGGGAGGCAACTGGTAGTAACGATGGCTTCGCGACGTCTCTGTTGTTTGGTCAGCTTATTGGCAACTGTTGAATCCGTAGTGGCATTGTCATACCTTTCAAAATGCTTCTTACCCACGTTGAAGAGCAATCGCGGTTGTTCGTATGCGTCTATGACCTTGAGCCACCCCCGAGGATCATTAACCTCATCGTCCTCGTCCGCTTCTTGGCTGACGCCGAGGCCTGACATGCCAAAGCTGGTATTGCTATCCTCTCTCACAGGACCTTGCGGCCTCAGACCTAACCTCGTATTGACAATATCGCCATCCACGCTTGCGGACTCTAGCAAGCTGTTCTCCCTCGAGAGGCCTCTCCCCTGACCTACGATTTTACCCCCACTCATGTTCCCTTCCAGTGTTTTTAGAATATCCTGTAGCGCTTTACTGGAACCTTCCACAATGACACCTCCATTGGAGTTCTTCCAGCTTCTTGCAATCTCCTCCAGCACCTTTTCTGCCAGACCCTCCTCGCGCCATCCCGAACCGCATTGCCGCCCGATGAACGAGGCCAGCTCCTGTAGGGCAGTGGAGTTGAGTGTCAATGCATGCTTTTTCGTGAAGATGCGAAAGGCTAGAGGTCGGAGAGTAGGCGGAGGGAGAATAATCGGGAGAATGGCGGCATTGGGGGCGTTGACACCGAATGGTTTCAATGGATGGGCTGGGGTGCCGAATGCAGGCGACGAAGACGGGATCGATGATGATGGAACCTGCTGCTGTTTCTTGCGGAATAACGGTGCCGGCGTCTTATGCATTTTCGAGGTCGGATGAAGCGAGCTGCAGCATTGGTCTGTACTGGTAGAGTTGGAGGCAAGAATACGATCCGGGGTATCTCTATCTGAATGGATGGACTTTTTGGTGGGGTGTAGAAGCAATGTCAACCGCGTCGACGCGTTTAATTGAATTTCACTAGATGCATTTCTCCGCATAAATGCATATTTCGCGTCGAGCCCGTTCCCAATAAGAGCATAATTTGTTGTAAATGATATAATTTTATATGTATTTTCTATGAATTAACTATTTTGTTTTTACTATAATTAAGAACAGCTTTGCAAGCTCAGCTTAATTCATGGTTCTGTATCTGAGAATTGTAGCAGAAGAAGAAGAAGCCAACGGCCACTATTTCCGACGTCTTTCTTGCCATTGTATCGGATCTCGACCTGGAACCAGCTGAGCCACATTTCTAGGTATGTCTAGTTATCACCAAGGGGAATCTTTACTACTTAGAAAAAAAAGCCCTTTACGTTGTACAGTTCAGAAGCAAGGAGCTGCGAAAACATCGTCGCCACACAATGATGTCCACTGTCTAATACAGCCAGCCTAAACAGCCTAAACAACATAGAGTGATGGCCATAGCTGATGATATAGATAAGAAACAAAGTAGGAGGCTCTTTAAGTTGTTTGCTGGAGGGGGCTTTTGAGGACACTGGGGAAAGAATCAGCGTATCGAAAATGATATAGTATTACAGCAGACCAAGACGGTCTCCGATATACACAAGGATTATTGAACACTGGGTTTTATCGCCTTTTCAGATGGATATGTCCATCTCCGCAACTCATACATAATGGCAAAATGATGTTGGTTTGTTTGGTAACCCACACAACTGATGGCTTATTTCGCTTTGGCATACTCTTGTTTCAGTCTCTCAACTAGTTTATCCCTCAGAAAAGGGCTCAATCCGAGTCTATGTGAAGATCAGCTATTGTCGGATTAGAGGTCGTTGGGGATGGTAGGACTTACATGCCCTCGTTGGTGACGATACGATAGGTTCCACTGGGTTGAACTTTGCCGATTACAGTGCCTGTCTGATCCACCTCGACACTGCCAAGGATATCTTCTGGCCAGGCTATTCTGCCGTAGTCGGGAGGATTTCTGCGATCGCTCAAGTGCACCCATCCACCTCGGCCTGCACCCCCAGCACCACCCTGGGAGCTTGCTCCTCCAGCGCCATCCCCTCCAGCAGCACCTTTCTTTTGGCGGCGCTTCTGTTGGGGGAAGAAGACTCCTCCAGATCCAAGATTGAATCCTCCAGGCCCGGCTAGTGCGCGGGCTTGGCTCACGACATCCTCATCTTGGTGGCCGTACTCCTGTATTACTTGATCTAGAATCTTGAGGAACTCGGGGTTTTGACGAAAGGATTGGGGAGTTGGTGGGATGATTGCAGATGTTCCAATGGAAAGCTGCTTCGAAGGCGGGTCGTTGTCGAGGTATGTTAGGATATGGGATGCCGGGGACGTGTGGTCGTCGAACACTTTCTGGCGATCGATGGTCAATCAGGTAGCTCGGAGGACCTGGTTTGCGCTCGCATTGAAGCTTACAATGTGTGGATTGTTGGGCAGTGACGAAATTGCTCTGGTAAAGGCCAGATGGGCTCGTGGGGCCCATCGGATACTCGACGAAAGGGCAAACATGTTGCTGATATCAAGCTCGGATTCGCAAGACCATTAATTTGCAGCTTTATGTTTGCTGGGCAATTGAGTCTGCTGCTGCTGCTGCTGGAAGGGAGCAGATGGAAGCATGTGCCCCACCCTGCCAGGCCTGTCCCGGATTCTTTCAGCGGTACCAGCGATTGCCGCTACGTAATGTAGTACAAGTACCTGAATCCTAACCTTGGCAGTAGCCCCAGTGTATGGCGACTGGCTTCCCCAGATAGAGGCCAGGTACCGATACTCGAGTCGCCCCCGGCGTCCGGAACCAACCCCTCCACTCCACCCCACAGCATCAACAGCTCCAAACCGTCCCATCATTCCCAACCACAATACGACAGAACTCCACCTCAGCTTCTATGTCTGGCACGCTCATCAATCTAGGCTGAGTTGAGCAGGACGTCATACATCAGAGCGGGCAATTTACATCGCCGCTGCGCCCATCTCACAGCGTTTCCTCCGACCGACGCCGACTTCCAAGAGCTGACCCCACGAGGGACCTCGGTTTTCCCAGCCCAAGACCACCTGGTCCCCCTCAGCCGCCACCATGGCCCCTCGCGGATTCGAGGACGAGGAGCTGACAATATCTCTCTCCTCTTCCCACGTGCGCCG